CCATGAATCATGCTCCAATTCTTTTGCCTATTAGGAATTTTCTGCCTATGCTCTTTTTGTTTTACTTGAGTCTTAATTGAAATTTTATTCGGTCAATATATGTTTGAGTCATTTTATTTTGAATCCATGTCTAGGAGTAATGTGTAGTTCTCTCTTGTTCATCATTCTTCGCTAAGCTTGTTTAACCTTTTTCTTTTCATTTGCATCTTGAAAAATATTTTTGAATTTGGCCGAGATCCTTAGTTTTTTGTGTGTGCTCATAATTTTTGTTTGAATTTGAGTTCATAAACTACTATTAGTTCATTAGTAGTTTTCTTAGAATTTAGGTTTTCCTATTCTATAAAATGTCTTGAAAATTTTTCTCCAATCCGTGAGTTTGATTTGTATGTGAGACTTGCGTGCTGAAAATTGTGTTTAAGTTTCATTTGAAATTTGAATTTGAGAGCCAAAAACCGTGCATGTGCTAATCAAACAAGCAAGGATAAAAAGCATGATGCATTTACATGTCATTTTAACCTAATTTTGTTGCCATTTGCAATTCAAATTTGGATTTGGTTTTTGTGTTTAATTCTAAGTGTGACCGAGAGTGGTGTTTGCATTTTGTGTCCAGAAAAAGGCAATCTCCTAAGATAAAAAAAATAGGGCAAAGTTTCAAAGAAAAATGCAAAAGCAAAGTGATTAAAAAAAAAAAGCTAAACCTAATTTCTCAAAGAAAAAGCCATATAAGGAGTTTGTGTTGTAATTGTGCACAAGTTTTTCTTCTCAGTTATACATTGTTAATTGACTACATGATGTTTTCAGCTTACATATCTTGAGTGTATTTGGTTTTATTAATCAATTCTAGATCCTTTCTAGGTTACTTCTTTCTTGTCCTGGCCAACTCTTGTTCTTTGTCATCTATATTTTCTTCTCCTTTACTCTACTCTTGTCTCCTTGAACTCTCAAATATCTTTGCTGTTTATGTTCATTGTGGAACTCAAATGTGACCTATGTTTGACCTAGACTAGCTCCTTAGAAGCTAGTTCTACAAGGGTCATCAAAAGAGGACTAAGAAAAGGAGGAGGAAGGGACAAAGGTGGCTCTCGGATTTGGCTACAAAATAACAAACACCAAACACTTGTAGCTGGAATTTTGGTGGCTGCTGGACTTGTTACATCCGTGGAGATCCTTGGAGTTTCAATTTGATTTGTATTTGAATTTAAAAAAAAAAATAGAGTATTAGTGACGGATTTAGAGACCAATTTTCCTTACTAATTTGAATTTTGTTGCAAACTTGGTCACTAATCCCTCACTAATTTTGGTGGCTGTTTTTGACTTATCTTTAAGCCACTTGTTTCTTTTGTTGTTTAGTTTTGTGATTACCTTGTAATTGGCCATTTCAAGGAGTGTCTTGGGTGTGTCTTTGGTACACAACCATCTCTCCTTTGGTGTTAATTTTCGTTAGAACTTGGTGAGAGTGGTCCTTGATTGATCTTTGGTATCTCTCAAGATCTCACCCTAGGACACGTTTAGATAGTTCATTCTTGCAATCATACTTGTTTTAATTTGCTTTCTTTCGTTTAGACTATCTTAGTTCACAATTCACAAAAATAATTTCATTGAAAAGATTTTGGTAAAGATTAACTACAAGGGGGATTAGTAATTTTTACTTGAAGAGGCTTGGTTATTAAGTGGCTCTTAGTAGCTCACCTCCCTCCAAAGTTCAATTTGTATACTTAGTCCTCCAAGTACTTAGTCTTAACCTTGTTTAAAAAATTGCTTTCAAAACTTCTTTCATAAAAATAAATCTTTCTCCTATAATGGAAGAATTTTCCACTCCTCAAAGTGATAGTAATTCAAGTGATTACAATGATATGTCAAAAGTAACACATGAATTAAGATCACTCAAAATTTGGAAAGAGCAAGAGTCTAAACAAAGATTAAAAGAAAAACTTGAAAGAGAGGCTCAACTTGCTCTTTTGGAGGAGGAAATTCGTTTGTTAAAGGAAAAAGAAGAAAAATTACACCATAAGCACCGAAGTAGACATAGCTCCCAAACTCATAGTTCAACCCTAGAAGAGTCAATGCATGATGATAGCCTAGCTTTAGGAGATCATTACCAACAACCTCCTAGAAGAGTTCATAGGACCCCCAAAGCAAGGGAATCTAGGGTAGATCTCCCTTATTTTCATGGCAAAGATGATGTTGAGGGGTACCTTGATTGGGAGATGAAGGTTGAACAAATCTTCACTTGCCATCAAGTGAGTGAAGAAAGAAAAGTACCCCTAGCCACTTTGAGCTTCCAAGGTCATGCCATGTATTGGTGGACTTCCCTTGTTAGGCATAGGCGTCTCCATAATGATCCTTCAATTCAATATTGGAATGAGTTAAGGAGGGCCTTGAGAAGGAGGCATATTGCCTCTTATTACACTAGGGAGCTTATCAACAAGCTCCAAACTCCATCAAAAAACTATGATTGTGGAAGAGTATAGACAAACGATAGAGTTGTACTTAATGAGGGTTGGCATTAGGGAGGAGGAA